TAGACACAATTTGGAATATTTATTTAGATTAGAAAGCAAACTAACTAATAAAATTATCCTAATCTAAAATTAACATTCAGTGGATAAACAAGCAGAATTATTTGAGGAGTTCACAGCACTTTGAAGATCCTTTTCCTGGCTGATTTTTGCAGCACAGATTTGATCTTTGATTTCCCTGCATAGATTGTTTTCCGAGCAGGGATCTGGCAGCAAATTGCTGCTGCCACTTTCGGAGTGTTTGCAGGAAATAGGAAGGATCTCTCTTCCTAAACAATCCTGGTTTATTTATTTTTTATTGGTCTGTTAGCAGATGTTGAAGTAGTTCAGGGCACAATGTAAACATGTGCTTTTCAATGGATGCTAAATAGGAAAGTGCACAATGAAAGGAGCGCTTGGGAGGGGGTTTGGAGCAGGGCAGAGAGGGTTTTGTGGGGTTTTTGTGTATGTGTGGTTGAATTTAGAATTAAAAGAAGTGCTTGATCTTTCAGTGCCCAAACCCTGAGCGCGCGGAGCCGTGGCCCCATGTGGCGTGAGAAAAGGAGCAGCACTTGAAGGGCTGGGGATTTGAAAAGGAGCTCAGCTCCTTGTTGTGGCAGCCTGGAAGGGGCTGTCCTGTCCGTGGGGTTCATTGAGGCATGGCAGATGTGCCCCAGCCCCACAAACCCTTGAGCGGGAGCAGCGCCGGCCCGGCGCGCGGCGAGGATGAGCCCAGGCAAGTGCAGGATTGTGGGCTCTGTGTTCTGCACCCCCTCCATGGCAGGCAGCTGAAATGGGCCATTAGCTATCAGGGAAAATTGTCTTTGCTCCTTTCAGCAGATGGAGCAAATATTTTACAAAGCAATTTTACATAGGAAAAGCATTTGTGTGAGGCGGTAATGACGGCTGTTTGCCATGATGGGACCCGAGCTCAGAACATGCTTTCCCAGCTCTGGGGAAGGCAGAATTGGCACTTTTTTAATTTTAAAATTTGCAGTTAACACTGAAAAGCCCGGGCTTTAAATCGGGTTGCACGCTTTAAGTAGATAGAGGGTGTTCAGTGTGCTGCTTCCAAAGCCATTCCCAGTTTTAGAGACCTCTCCATTTATTCTGTTCACTGTGGTACTTTGTGCTTCTGGCCGGGGTGGACCTGTCAGAATAAGAAAAAAGTGCCCAATCAGTTTAATTTGCAAAACAGGAAATAATGGCAGTTCTTTGGACATTTGGGCAGCAGTCACTGCCTTCTTCCGTGGTTGCTGGTGTCACTGAGAACATCAGGGCTGGACCAGTTCCCACCCAGGCTGGAGTAAGTTATCCCAGCTCCACTGCTCACGAGAGAAAGGATGTGCTTATAAATGGCAGGAATTGCCATTGTGCCATCCAAGTGGCATAAATTGCCACAGCTCCACTGACTGCAGCAGAGTCGTGGCACTTTGTATTGCTCAGGAGCTCTCTGCTGATTTTATTCCTCTCTGACCCACTCAGCTTTCCTTTAAAGGAATTTGGAGTCCCTTTCTTCACTCTGTTTGCTTGCAAGGTCTAAATAATTTCCTTTCCATCTGGTTTTTAGCTAAAAACCCCTGCATCTTATGCATCCTACTCTGCAGCCTCTTGCTTTCCCCAGATCTTTCTTCCTGGTTCTATTTCTTCTTCCTATTTATTTATTTCTCTTCTCAACCAGCTTTTCAGCTTTTCTTTCTTTTTCTGTCTCCAGCAGATTTCCTACCACTGCCTTCAACATCTGCCACTCTTGGTCCTAATTTTGTGTTGCAACTGCCTAAGAAAACCTTTCAAAATTCATCTTGCAGAAAGGTGAGAAATTATTTCTCATTTAGTGGGGAAAAGCTGTATTTTTTTTTTTTTGGTGCTTCTTCATTGTTATAAAAAGGTGCTAAACCAATTGGGAGAGATGTAAAGATTTCTACATGATGTAAACAATATTTGAGCTGCTCATTTTTACTGCTACTAAGAAACATCAGCTGCAAGCTTTGAACAAATGCTCCCTGTTTCTGTTGAGCCTGTGGTCCTGGATTGTTTGGGGCCACATCAAGAGAGAAAACATTGGTAGGCTCTGCTGGAGATACTGTCCAATTTAAATGAAATTAGCCAGCTGAGCACTGATCCTTTTAAAAGGTTTGACTTCATGGGTGAATGTTGTATGCGGGCTTGAATTTGCCTACTAAAACTCCCTATAATCAGGATTATTGCCTTTTTAGAGCTTACAGTTGCAAAAAAACCCCTCCAACCAGGATTCCAGGAGCTGATCCCTAAAGGGTGAGTCCCTTCTGTGGGCACCCTGAGTGGCCAGGCTTTGTTCTGGGAGAGCCCACCTGGGCTTGGGGCTCAAGGGAGGCTTGGCAGATTTTCTTGAATTGCCGATTTGTTTAAAATCCTGCTTTGTTTCTGTCAGACAGGTTTGGTGCTCACATCCTTCACAATCCCCAGAGCTGTGGCTGCCCCTGGATCCCTGGAGGTGTCCAAGGCCAGGTTGGAGCCTGGGATGGAATGGGATGGGATTTAAGTTCCCTCCCAACCCAAACCACTCCAGGATTCCATGATTTATTATCCTAAAGCACCATCCTTAGATGTGCAAGGGAAAATTTCCTTGGAAGTTGAGCCTGATTTTGCAGCCAGGTTAGGGAGGTTTCTTCCACAGCCAGGTGTGATCCCCCAGCTCTGTGTGAAAGGAGAAACAGCTCAGAACTGTGGCTCTGGAAATCTGTGTCCCACTTTAATTGTTCCTTACACAAACCTGGGCACAGCACTCCCAAATGCCTCCACATCCAGCAGAGATTTCTGGTTTGGTTTTTTCCCCCCTGTGATTTATCAAAATCTTTCAGGCAGCCACGGCACAGCTCTTGCTTTGTTTGTTTTCATATTTCTGTTTAAATTGCTCCATACCCCGAGCCAGCAGGTCTCAGGGATGAGGAGGGAATGACAGAGGTGTTGCTGGGTGCACTGCCAGCTGGGAGCTGATTTGTGGGGCAGCAATTCCAGGCCATCCATCAAGGCTCACATCCTCCCTCCAAAGATGAGAGGATTTTCATGAGCCACCTCAGCCCGTGCCTTGTTGGCTCAGCAATAATTCAGCACAAACACAAACCCACACAAGGCCAATGGGTGTTTGCTCACTGCTCTGCTCTTTCAGTCAGCTCAGCCATCCAAACCCAAAATTCCTCCTCCAGATCCTCAGGAAATGATCAGTGTAAAAACCTGAAGCTGGGTAAATTCTGAGTTTAGATCTCATGCTTTATGTGCTCCTTTATTATTGGGTAAATTCTGAGTTTGGATCTTATGCTTTATGTATTCCTTTGTTTTTGGGTAAATTCTGAGTTTGGATCTTATGCTTTATGTATTCCTTTGTTTTTGGGTAAATTCTGAGTTTGGATCTTATGCTTTATGTATTCCTTTGTTTTTTGGGTAAATTCTGAGTTTGGATCTCGTGTTTCAAGTGCCCCTTTGTTTTTGCCATGAGGCTGTGCTGCTCAATGTATTGATCTACTGACTAAAACCACTTTTAACCCCTTTCTTTGTGATATTTTTTAAGTCAAGAACATATTTTCCTCTTTATTATATGATAGGGGTCCACATATCCCAGATCAGCATCACCATGTGTGCACCCCCATATTTTTAAGGTATTTTTCCCTTCAGTTGTCCCCCTTCCATGGCTGGGCAGCTGAGGCCCAGGTGGAAAATCCCTTTCCCAGGTGGAAAATCCCTTTCCTGCAGTCTCAGGGTGGCTGCAGCCAGGAGCAGGGTTTATCCAGCTCTCCTGCACTCAGAGTTCATCCCATATTCCCCAATTGTCCAGAGGAGCTGTGGCTGCCCCTGGATCCCTGGAAATGTCCAAGGTTGGATGGGTTTGGACAGCCTGGGACAGGGGAAGGTGTCCCTGCCATGGCAGGGGTGGAAAAGGATGGGATTTCAGTTCCCTTCCCCCCAAACCATCCAGTGATTCCAATCATTGCTCCATCCTCCTCGTGCTGGTAGGCAAATCCCAGTTCAGTCATTTGGAATTTGCATTTTTGGTTACTTTCCATCATGTGCTCCATGACAAAGCGCATCTCTGCAAACTCACTGCTCCGGAAAAACAGCTTTCATTTTTTATTTGCCATTCTTAGCTGTCAGCCACAAGGATTCCTCATGTTCCTCCAGAGCCTGGCGTGGGGTGATGGTGGCTGAGGACATGGCAGGGCCAGAGCAGGGCTGGTCACTGCTGCAGCTGAGCAGAGGGGATGGAAAACAGGAAAGAGCCCCAGGGGAGCAGGGGAGGCTCATGAAGCAGCAAGGAAAGGAGCCTGAAGCAATCCAGTCAGGGTCCCTGCACTTTATATGCTCCTGTTCTTCTGGGGCTTTGGGGAGCACTAAAAGCAGAGCAGTTACTTGCTGTATTTAATGGGGCTGGGCTGTGTGTGTGATAATAAAGAATTTGAAACTAGGAAAAAAGCTGCTTTAGCTGCGGAGTGACTAATCAAATCCCAGCAAAGACACAGGCACTTGGGAATTTGTTACAGATATTTTGCAGATTTAAAAGGATATCTCCTGCTTTAGAAATGCTTTCGCTTGTTTATTCCTTTTTCTCTTTTTTTTTCTGTCTAAAGGGTATTTGGGTTGATAGAAGAGCTTAAACATAGAACCAGCAAAACTATTGCTGGCATATGTGACTATTTCAATATGCTGCTTCAAAATACAAGCAATGTACAAGTTATTGACTGCTGCTATTGATCCCAAAGCAGTTACCAAGTACTTGGCATTTTCAGATGCCAGATCCAATTATTGATATAAATTATAATGCAAGAGATGCTGTGCTGAGGGGGGGATTGGCTTTCAGAGAAGGACAGTTTGCAGGAGGAAGGAAGAGGAGCAAGCAGAAAAATTAAAAAAGGCTTCCAGACTGTGGGTAAACAGTAACCACTTTTTTTTTTTTTTTTTGCCTGTTGGAGGCCTGGTTTTTAATCACCCCACAAGCAGTTTTCATTTCTGTAGTAAAATTGCTTGTGGTTCTATTTAATTTGTTTCTGCAGGAGCTAGCTTTGGTGAAGATCTCCCAGGAGCTGCCGGGCCTTTTAGCACAGCACGTACAGCCAGTCAATGAGAAACGATTCCCTACATGGGAAAAATTCCTCCAAACATTTCTTACTCAAGGTAAATAAGACTGCAAAGTCGCTGGGAAGTGTTAGAAGGAGTAATTATGCCATATTGTCTGCCATATTCTTGTTAGTCTTGGGCCCATTTAAATATTTATCTCCTTTTATTTCTCCATTATGCATCAAATGTTCATTTACCAATGAATTATGGGCCACTGTTCTATCATTCACTTGTCCTATCCAAGCTTTTAGTCCATATTAATCCTGGATTCTGAATCCAGAAGCACCAACTCCTTAATCCTTGGGTGCTGCACATTTGGGGAAGAGTTTTGGGGAATTCCAACATGTGAGGTAAATTTAACATATAGATTTCTTTATGGAAGAGACAAGGATGAATCAAAGCCTTGAAGGTATTTTTCTTTTTAAATAATGCCACTTAACACATCTAATACCAATTTTATTACATAGCTGTTTATCCCAACAAATGGGGTTATGGCATTATATGCAAGGAAAAGGCAAATCCAGAGTGCCAGGCAGTTACCTTGGTGATTTTCCTATGGAAAACCAAGCTGGAAATTGTTATTTCCATGCCAAATTCCTCTTGTGGGTGAATGCCACAGGCAGACTCTTAGCTAAGACCATTACATGGATGGGAGTCTCCAAGATGAGCTCCCAGCAGGAGCTGCCATCCCCCAGATCCCAACATTGCATTTCCCAGCTGTTCTGGGCTGGTGCTGAGCTGGATTCTCTCCTGCCACCCCAGGGATTGTTTTCCAGTCAGTGTGGGACTGATCCCCTTTGGAAGTGGGAATGAAAATCACAAATTAAACTCCTTGTTCTTCCATGAGACCCGCGATTCTGGCTCTGCTGCTCCCCTTGCTCTGATTGATTTGCTGTTTCTCCTGGAGCTGGGGGCTCCATCCTGTGCCCTCTGAAGGTGGTGGGTTTGATCCCAAGGGAATTCCTGTCCCATTCCAGGGGGGGTGATCGAAGCCTTTCCCTGCTCGGGCAGCGTCACCAACCTGACGGTGGATCTGCTGATCGAGCCCTCGGGGGAGCTGACTCTGCTGGCATCTGGGGAGCAGCTCCACGCCGAGGGGCCCCTCAGATCCTCTGGCACCACCATCCCACAGCGCTCCGTGGATCCTGGGCTTCTCCAGGCTCTCTGCCTGAAAGTTGGGGAGGCCTGCAAAGCCAAAGGAGTGCTGGGCTACTTCTCCGTGGACTTTGTGGCTTTCACCCATCCCCAAACGGGGCAGCAGCAGGTGAGTGGGGCAGGTTTGGGCCCTCACCCTGTCTCCCTGAGGCTGAGAAATCCCAACTTTCCCATGGAACTCCAAAAAATACCAGGAGAAAGCTCTGCCCTTTGGGACAAACTATTTCCAAACTCTGGGGCATGCGAGCTGAGGGAAGCACGGGGGTATTCTAACAGCACCTGAGGCATCTCCTTGTTTTTCACTCTCCTGACATTGTTTTCTTCTGGAATCTTCACTGAGGACCTCACCTCAGTGTTTAGGATGTGTTTGACTGTACAAGGGAACATCCCTGGATTTTAAGGCTGTGGGGAGCTGGGGAACTTTGAGGTTTTTGGGAGCTGACAGCACTGTGGGGGTGGCTGCGGTGAACCAGAGAATCAGAATAATCATGGAATCATGGAATGGTTTGGGCAGGAAGGAACCTTAAAAATAATCTCATTCCAACCCCTCATTTTAACACCTTTCACTGTCCCAGGTTTCTCCAAGCCCCATCCAGCCTGGCCTTGGACACTTCCAGGGGTCCAGAGGCTGCCACAGCTTCTCTGGGCACCTGTGCCAGGGCCTGGCCCTCACAGTAATCTCTGAGCTCTGGAATTCAGATCCCAGCTATATTTGACTCCCAAAATGGATGTGCACAGGCACTGCAATCAGAACTCTGGGTGAGCCATACTGGGCAAGTTCCATGGGAAGTTCTTTAAAAAGAGGAAGGGATGACATCCTCACCCATGGAAATCCATGGGAGTTCTGCCAATTGCTCCACTCAAGCCAGGAGGTCACTGAAATGCAGGATTGCTTCCTGGATTATTGAGGTTGTGACATTTCCTGGCACAAACAAGGACACATTAAATCATTTAGTGATTATTGTGGCTCCTTAGAATTCCTGTCTGTTCCATCTTGGTTTTCTTCCCTGTTCCCAGCTGATTTTTACCTTAACATTTCCTATGTTTATCAGCATGTACCACAACCTTAACATTATTTAAGCACAGGTTTTTAAATTTAACTGGATGTGGAGGCAATTAATGAGGCCATCTGTCTTGTGAGAGAGAGATCACACAAAGGCTTGTGTTCCTGAAAGCACCATTTTTTTGGCAAACAAGAAATCCTATCAGGCCCTTGGAACATTTGCTGACTCCTTTCACAAGGGTCCCCTTGAATGCAGTAGGTGGGAGGCTCAGATGCAGTTCCTGGAAGTACAGGATACTCAGGAATTCTTTCCAAGTGTGTTTTACAGAAAATAAAATACTGATCTTTGGAGCACTAGGAGAAAAGGATGGATAAGGAACAATGTGTGTTGTCTCAGTGGGAAGACAGAGTCCTGGCTGCCACAAGATCCAAGGGGCAGGGAGAGCTGGGACTCCACACAATTCCCTGTTTGCCTCAGGAATTTGTTTCCGTCTCAGTTTCAGTTTGTGCCTTGATCCTGAGGGGGTGATGGAGATGCTGTTTTCAGTATCTTGGGGAAGAAGTGGAGGTGCATCATTTAGAGTGAATCCCTTCTGATTCCCTCTTTATTTTCCACAATGATCATTCCAAGCCAAACCTTGGTCCCTGGGAGTGGAATTCTGCCCAGTGCTGTCAGATCCCAGCTGGGAGCTGCACCCAAATAAATCCCCTGCATTGACTGGGAATATTTAGCACATCCACTTCCTTACATATTAATTTGGAGAAGCAGGATCCTAAGCTACCTTTTCCATAGGTCTGTTGGCTTTTACACAGCTCCAGCCTTTCCTAACAGTGAGGGAATAATAAATTGGATAAAGTGCTGGGGTTGGACAATTCCAACAATCCTCTCCAGAAAAAAAACAACACATTTTTATGTGCTATCTTCCAACAAGAGCCACAGTGCTGCCACCAACCATCGCCCAGCAGGACAGAGGAGTGGCAGAGCCCTAAAATTGGAGTTTTTGGGCGAGCCCAGCCCATGCCAGCAGCTGCCACGAGATGGCAGCCGGAGGAGAGCCTGCAGCACCGCCCCAATCCATCCTCCCGCAGGTTTGGGAAGTCACAAAAGCCACTCTCTGCATTAATATTTTACTAATTGACATTTTTACAGTATCACTCAAGCACTTCTTTGAAACTAGCACGGGTGCTCTTCCCAATAACGCAGCCGTCGATAGCAGAGCAGATAAAACAGCTAAACCAGAGAGAGCCAAGCTGTAATTTAGGAACTCTTTAAGAATTTATGTTTCCTTCCCTTCTCAAGTTTACATTCTAACGCTGAAGCGTTTTTATGGAAGCTGTAAAGAATTCCAGCGTAATTGTGGCTTTATTCACTGGAGCTGTCTTCAGCACAAAGCGCCGGCTCTGGAGCTGTGTGTGCCCAAGGAGAATCCCCTGGAAGCAAATGTTCCCTGGGATAAACAGCCAGCAAGTCTTGCAGGATGTATTTCTAACTCCTTTTGTTTCCATTGGTGGGATTCTGGAGAGTCCTAATCTGTTCTGTGCTTCACTTGACCTAAAACAAGTCTTAAATCAATCTAAAATCTTAATTACTGCCTTTGGACTTTGAAAATCAAGTATCAGTTCTAGACTATTCTGTTCCAGTTTAATTTCTGAACATAAATTCTGAAAATCCCCACATTTCAGATGAGAACTCCATGTGTTCTGCTAATTTTCCATACAATCCTGTCAGGATCTGACACCCCCAATCATAAATGTGTACAATTACATCCCTGCCCTTTTTGTGTATGCTCAGAAAATGGGGATGGGCTCAATAATAGATGTTTGTTAATCTGGAGGATTGTTTCTTTCTTTACTTAAACTTCACCTTTGCACAGGTCATCTCTAAGAGCTCCTGATTTACTGGAGGAGATGATTTATGTGGCCAGACCCCTTGTCCAGGCCCTGTGTTCTCCCATTTCTGTAGCAGCACAAAGGGGATTTAAAGGACATTTTTGTGTTTCCATGGCAAAAGGGAATCCCCTGCTAGGATAAAGCTGGAAAATCTTGTGCCATCTGATGCTTCTTCCTCTCTCCCCCACGCCAGGGATGTTCTGGGACACGTCCAGGGCAGGAGGGGACATGGCCACAGCCAAAGTGTTCTCAGAGAGCCCTGAGCCAGGCAATCAGTCCTTGGGGGTGATCCCAGCTGGCACCAAGGAGTGACCATTTGGCTGCTCTGAGTTCCAGCAGGGGTGGTTCAGCCCCGGGCTCAGGGATGGAAGGAGGTGGACAGGTGGCTTCCAGCCATGTTTGCCTTCCTCCTATTCCTCCTCCTCCTTCTCCTCCCCACACCTTATAGTGGAAACTGCAAAATATTACAATGACTTTACCTGAGGAGGACATGAAGCTTAAGGGGGTTTTGAGCTCTCCTTTGTTACAGCAGGGGAGGGGATGGACATTTCCTTCATCCCCCTGTGGATCCAAACTCTTCATTTTGTAGGCAGCAGCAGAAATGGGGCTGAGATGATGAAATCACACACAAAAACGATTTAATCCCCTCTGGATGCAACAGCAACTCCTTAAACCAGTATTTGGTCAATCTCATCATTTCCAGCACAGAGGTTGCCCTGCTGAAAGCTTTTTCTGTTCTTCCCTGCTCTCCCAGCCCTTTCCTTGGGAGCCATTCCCTGGAGCAGAGGCTCCAGAGCAGCTCCTGGGCACTGCAGCCAGCCTGGCGTGCTGGGGCTTTGTTTAGGTGGTGTGAAATGCATCACACAAATAATTACTGGGGTTTGTCTCCATCTGAAATGGAAACAATGTCGTTTGCTCCTGTTTGAATTGTAGGCACTGACCAGGTGGGACCTGCCCCACGCCTGGTGGGGTTTGTGTGGGTCCCTGGGAGGGGGGAATGGATTCATCCACTGCTGATGGCTGCTTTGTGAATGTTTGTTAATGTTTTATCTGCTGTTAAATCCTCAGCCCATTCCCTGCATTTTGCTCTGGGACTCACTTCAGTCACAGGGATGTTTTGGCTTTACCTTTTTCATGGTGCCCCTTCAGTCCAGCTGCCTCCTGCAGCTCTGTTTGTGTTCAGTAAAGCTTCAGGTGTGGATTTTGAGGTCAGGTGTAATACCAGGGTCTGGCATAAGAGCAAACACTTCACTTAGAGCCAGTGAACAGCCCTCAGATATCTGAGATTTTCACTCCCTGGTTCCCTCATGCAGCTTTGTCACTTCTTTCTGAGGGCAAAGTTTTCATTGTAAGGGCAAAACCCAGCTCAGACAAGATCTAGGACATATTGACACAGATTTGTTGATAATATTTATCAAAATTAATGGAACACTCCCACAATGTGAATAGCTTATAATTATTATTTGGCTCATTGAAAAGGTTGGCACACACTGGAAAAGGAGAAATGGACAGCAAAGTTCCTCCTGTCTCACAGAAGTGATGATAAAAAATAAATTATTGAAGAAAATTAAGTATTATAATTGGGGAACATTCCCCTATTACTAAGTAAAGCCAGCCATTAGCATCCAATTTGCATTTTAGACCGTGCAGCAGGAAATATTTAAGTTGACAAATAGGATATTTAATACAGCAACAGATACTTGGCAGTTAGACATTAACAACTGTTACTGGGGTGATTTATTCCCCATTATCCAAAGGGCATTACTCTGTGCATATGATTCTGAAATTAACTCCACTTTTCCAAGAGGCCTTGGCTGCCTGACCCCTTAATATCCTTATAATGAGTCCATTTACCATTCCAGGGCTGAGGCGAGTTGTTCACTGGGAGATTTGTTTTAAGGGGTCCTCTGTAGGGCAGCTCTTGGTGTGTGGGAACATCTCTCACTGGCAGGGTCGGCACAGGGATTTTTAAAGTGGGAAAAACCCCTGGGAAAAGCAAGCTCTGGTTATTGGGGTGGAGGAGCCTTGCAGAAGCAACCCATGGTGCTTCCCTCAGCCTCCCTGGAGGATTAGTTCTGAAGTTACAGAAGAGTTCTGCCTGTTCTGTTTGGAAGTGGTTTGTGGAATCCCAGAATCCCAGAATGGTTTGGGTGGGAAAGGACCCTAAAGCCCACCCAGTGCCACCCCTGCCATGGCAGGGACACCTCCCACTGTCCCAGGCTGCTCCAAGCCCAATGTCCAGCCTGGCCTGGGACATTCCAGGGATGCAGGGGCAGCCACAGCTGCTCTGGGCACCTGTGCCAGGGCCTGCCCACCCTCACAGCCAGGAATTCCTTCCTCACATCTCCATCACTGCCAACCCTGCCCCAGCACCAGAATGCCAGCACACAGGACAAAACCAGGCAGAGATGTTCCTTCACAATTGCTGAATTTTACTCTTCTTGTTGTTCGTTTTAATTTATTTGAATGCCCTTCTTTGTTTTTGATTAGGTGTGGGCAACAGACCTTGACCTTGGCTACAGTGACCAGCTGGCCCTGAGTCAGCTCCTGGTGTACCTGACAGATGGAAATGTGGATTGTGGCTCCAGCATCCTGCAAGCACCTCTGGGAGCAAAGGAGAGCCAAGGCCAAGGGGTCCAGCACGAGGGGACAAAACCTGTAAGCAGTGATGTGCTCCTAAATACAACCATTTATGGAACTCCCAGTTCATGTTCTGTTCCAGAGGAGCTGAATCTGCTAAAACCAATTCAGGTTTTACACTGCTGCTCTTGGAGTTTACCAGGTTAATGAAGCCATGGCTAACAGCACAGTGGGAGTTAAAGGGGAACAATCCCATCCCAAGGCCAGGCTGGACAGGGCTTGGAGCACCCTGGGATGCCCCAGGTGTCCCTGCCCATGGCAGGGGTGGGATGGGATCAGCTTCAAGGTCCCTTCCTACCCAAATATTCCGGGGTTCTATAAAATGGGAAGAAAGGTCTTTAGAAAAGCCAGCATAAGGAAGTGTCTGTCTGTGTACATACACATATGGACAGACAACAAAAGCTGTTTGCTGTATTTTGACAGAAGATTCACAGCTCCCTTTTTTCCATCCGTAGAGGAGGGAATGTATCACCATTCCAAAAATGTCATGGAGCTGTAATTTAGAGGTTAACGAGCTCTTGATCCATTGTTCTCGTCAAGCAACCACTTTTAGTTGGAGAGAAGTAAATTAGATCTGATTAGTCCCAGTAGTCCAAGTTTTAGAAATGAAAAGTAATCAAGTAGCAACTTTTTTTTAATTAAAATTCTGTCAGAATTAACATAAATTGTTATTATTATATGCTTTATTTTTAATTCTTTCTGTATTTCTGAGATTTTTATCTCCTGAAGAGTTAACTACAAGACTCCAGTCTCCCAGGAAAAGAGAAAAAGAAACAAACCAAGAGACAAATGTTTTTACTGCACATGATCTGTAATGAATGATTAAGTAAAACACTTTGTGTAAAATTATGATGTTAATAATGATTCTGTCCCTTTTAATTTATTAGATATTCTCCATGCTGGTAGGGCTGATTTTGATAAAATGGAGCAGCCCTGCAGTTTGTGCAGGGATTTTATTTTTAGAACTCCTTCTTTGAAAGAACAAATTTCCTAGATACTGCTGCTCCTGTAATTATGTACAAAACCAATCACTCATTATAGTTAGGATACATTATCTTCTAGACAGATGAGGCTAAATAAGCAACACATTAATAATTCATCCTGCAGTTCATTATGCATGTGTATGCATGCTTTGTAGCTGAAATAAGCACCTCATCAACCTGATGCCAACCCTTAAACAATAGTTCTGTGTTATTGCAGCCACATTCAAGTTTACGCTTGTTAAACTGCTGCTTGGATTATTTTATCAAGCATTCATTTATTTGTGGTCCCCTACTGCAGAGAAACAGATTTTGGAAGCTCCTTTTTTAAGTTAATGACTTGAGCAATGGGTGTTATTAATTCTCGGAATATTATAAACATGATTAATTTTCAGGCAGAGATGTATTAGATCAGGATTTCAGCTCTGTCAACTTAAATGAGTCAATGTCAAAACAAATATAATTTTAGGGGAAATACTGTAAATTACAGGCTTTGGTGTGCAGTGTCCCTGCTCCCAGGGACATTAAAAATACCACCAGGAAAGCCCTGGTTTGGAACAGCTCTGCTCAGAGCTCCTCAGAGCAACATCTCTGTTCTTCTGGCACTGGTGAGAGTTTAAACTTGATACAGCACCAACCTTAATCCAAGGGGGAGAGAGGGCAGGGTCAGGTGAGAATAAATATTGGGAATAAATTCCTCCCTGTGAGGGTGGGCAGGTGCCCAGAGCGGCTGTGGCTGCCCCTGGATCCCTGGAATGTCCAAGGCCAAGCTGGATTCAGTGCTCTCGCAGAGCTCAGTGACCACTGAAGCTGTGAAAACACCAAAATGTGCTTCATGGAGCAATTCTGTGGATCTGAGCTATCAAACAGGGGCTCATGGAAATGTCTGAGTCCAGCAGAGCCTGTGAGGAACAGGAATTCCTCCAAATGGAGCCTTACTCCACGCTGAGTTCACTGGCAAAAAGCCATTTATGGAATGACAGGATCCAGCATGGTTTGGGTTGGAAGGGAACTTTAAGCTCATCCCATCCCACCCCTGCCATGGCAGGGACACCTTCCATTGTCCCAGGCTGCTCCAAGCCCATCCAACCTGGCCTTGGACACTCCAGGGATCCAGGGGCAGCCCCAGCTGCTCTGGGAATTCCCTTCCAGGGAACACTTTGTTCCCAATGTCCCACCTAACCCCACCCAATCAGTCTGAAGCCATTTCTTGTCCTGTCCCTCCATCCCTTGTGAACAGTCAATAGTTTAGCATTTTAGCTGTTGGGTTCTGATATAAAAGGTGTGAAAATGAGGAATCCTGGGTGCAAAGCCAGTAATTCAGCATTCAGCTGTTGGGTTCTGACAAAAATGGTGAAAATGAGGAATCCTGGGTGAACAGTCAGTAATTCCGCACTCAGCTGTTGGGTTCTGATATAAAAGGTGTGAAAATGAGGAGTCCTGGGTGCAAAGCCAGTAATTCAGCACTCGGCTGTTGGGTTCTGATATAAATGGTGAAAATGAGGAGTCCTGGGTGCAAAGCCAGTAATGCAGCACTCAGCAGTTGGACCCTGCCCCGAGCTGGTGTGACAGTGAGCAATGCTGCTGTTCTCTGCAGCCTGCCCCCAGCAGCCCCCGGTGTGCCGTGGCCAGCAGCCAGCTGAGGCATTGCGGCCTCTCAGGGATCTCCTACAGCCTCCTCCTGCACACCTGCAAAGCTCAGGGCATTGGATTTGACCCCCAGGTAAGAACTGGAAGCATGAGACAAATGTGATGTTCCTCCTGCAGAATTTTTGTTTGTAAAGTCTTTTATGATAAAACCACTTCTAGCAATGTAAGTCATAAATCGTGGAATTGTTAGGGTTGAAAAAGGCTTCTAACATCATCCAGCCATCAACCCACCACCCCCAAGTTCACCACTAAACCAAGTCCTCAAGTGCCACATAAACCTAACTTTCTTCCAATTTAAGTGTATGTAAGACTTTTAGGGGTTAACTTGCTTCTTGATAAAAATACCAATATAAGATAATTTTTAAGATACTTTTGACCATCCCTTACTGCTTTGAAACCCAAATATTTGCTGTGAAATAGACTGCTGCATTTATTGTATTCTCTACAATAAGTTAAAACAATAATCTATTTAAACTGAGCAAGAATTCCTTACACACAATCCCAAACCAGCCCTCCTTAGTTTGGGTGTGTATTTACTGTGACACATTTATTACAATTCCCACTAATTGAGGAATAAATAAAGCAATTTTGTCTCAATTTACAGGAAAAACAGGGAACAGTTTTTGTGTTGTATGAAGACCAGAAGCGACACAGCCTGGGAATGATGTAAGTGTGGAGTGTCCCTAACCCAGGGTGACAAAGAGCTGGGGACACTCAGGGACACAGCCTGGGAATGATGTGGGGAATGTCCCTAACCCAGGGTGACAAACAGCTGGGGACACTCAGGGACACAGCCTGGGAATGATGTGGGGAATGTCCCTAACCCAGGGTGACAAAGAGCTGGGGACACTCAGGGACACAGTCTGGGAATGATGGAAGTGTGACTGTCCCTAACCCAGGGTGACAAACAGCTGGGGACACCCTGGGTGTGCAGAGAGTGACAAAGGCCAGTGAAAAGGGCCCTGACCTCTCCCAGGACTGGCCTTTTGGGGCAGTTTTAGGGTGCATTTCAGCATTTCAGCAATAAAGAAAGGCCAGGGCTGTGCTGAGCCAGGGCTGGTGGCACTGCAGGCTCAGGAGCTGCTGGAATTGGCTTCAGGAGAGCTGCTGGAATTCCCTTCTGGAGCAATCCCTGCCATGGATCAGCACAGCCTTACTCCTACAAACAACATTAATAAAGGCCTGACTTCCAGGAGGCAAAGGAGGGTGAAGTTTGATGCCTTTTTACATTGTTCTTGCCCAAGTTTCCTGCCCAAATGGGCTGTGATGAGGGAGGAGCTGCAGCGTTGTGCTCTCAGCCTGTTCTGTATTCCTTTGGTGCTGCAGCTATTTCATTAATGACCTGGATAACAAAACAGCTTCTTCAAGTGCTGGATGTGCCTGCAAGTGTTCTGGAGGGCAGGAACGGAATTCAAAATGATCTCCACAAATTGAAGGAACAATATGAGAAATAGAATTAGGTTTGGCTAGAACCAGGTGGAAGAAATTACATTTAGAGAGAAGTAATGAATATGAGGAACAAGGAGGTTTTGGGAGCAGGATCTGTGAATTAAACAATGTCTTTTTCCTGTGGAAAAACATAAACAGTGCATCCTGGGAGATGCTGGAAGAAATCCTGCTGTTCTGTGAGAGGGAGGCAATGAAAATGTTTAGAGTTCTGGAGAGCATGACTGACATGGAAGGACTAAAAAGGAGAGGGAGGGCAGAAATGGGATCTGCTAACGATCTTCCAGCACAGAAAAAGCCTCTGCAGGAAGGGAAAATCTGATTTTTTGGTAGAAGAAAGAAGAAATAAACTCAACTTGCAACAAAGAGGATTCCTGTTGTCTGCCGTCACATTTTCAATGCAACTTCATAGCCTTAATTGGGAAATATTTTCAAGGTTGTTGGAGTTGGAGTTTATAAAGTAACTGAAATACCTGAAACATGTCTGAGAATTTCCCATTTTATTCCATCAGAGATCTGTGGTCGATTCCAGTGCATGAGGCACGTTATTCCTCAGTGAAATTCCCTGTTCCTTAAGGTATGGGGAGTCTGTGTAGACCTGGGAAACCAGAGACCCCAAAGCCGCAGCAATCCAAGGAATGTTGATCCTGCTGAAATGTCTTGCCCAAATTTTAGGCTGAAGCAAGTTTTTCCCAAGTGATGTGGGTGTTCCAAGTGTTCTGCTGCCTCAGTCCTTCCTCAGCAGTCACCTTTTACTTGGAGTAGCTGAAACCTCTCCGCTTACTTCTGCTAAGTTGATTAATAAAAATTATTTATTGCACAAATCCTTCCCGTTGACAAGTTAAAATGGAGCCTCATCTTTCATATCTCCCTGAAGATTTTCACCTTGTGAGATTGAAAATCCTCATTAAATTCCAGCACCAGGCAGGCACAAATGAGAGGGCGATTGTTTTTAAGCATGTGAAGGGAATCATTGGTAAACTCATTTGTTTGGATATCATTAACAGAACAATCGGAGAGGATCTCCAGGGGGTCCTCCTGACCTTTGCTCGCAATCTCTTCATCATCCATCAAGAAATATCAGCACCTAATATGCAAGGCGAGACCAATTTTAAGGTGAGGTGTTAATTAACTAACGATCCTGGTTAATTTCTGTACAAGGCCTGCAAATACCTCATGCTGGATCATAAACAAGTGCTAAACCATTCCTTTTTTATCGCTGCCTGTGTGTGGTTTACAGTGTCTGGGTCAGTGTAGTGGGTCTCCCACGGAACCCGTTAGTTAAATTTAAGTTTGAAACTTTTTCTTTGAAAAGAGACATCCTTGAGAGTGAAATTATTTGTAATCTAATGCTCCTGAGTGCCCTTTGGAAGAGCAAAGGAGCTGTTGGCACTGCCTCACACAGTTCTGTCACAATTGCCTGCTTTATTTTAAAGGGACACCATCAAGGTAAGAATCTTAAATTAGAAACAAATCTCTCAGTTGGTAATAACTGCTTGGATTATTAACACTCATTTCTTTTTAAGAGGCAGCCACTAATCCATTCCTTCCCGCCCTCACCCTGCCATCCCTTTCCAGGTGGATTTTGTTCCCAATTTTCTGTGCTGTTGGAAGGTGCCCATCCCTGGATGCTCCAGGGGAGGAGGACAAAGCTCAGGGGCTCAGCCTGGGGAGGTTCCCCCACCCTGCAGCCAAAACCAGCAAAGAATCTCCAACCCAACCCCATGCCCTTGGACAGGCCCTCCTCACAAAGCTGCTTTTGGTCCCACAGAATTGCTCAGCTGCCCACAGGGAGCTCCTTTTGCTTTAACTTTATAAAAACTTTCCAAGATGCTGTGTGTGTTTTGTGAAAGGTGAAGGGGAACGCTGTGTTAGATTTGTATCTTCAGTCATGTCACATAATTTATAGCAGATTTCTTTCCACCCTGACTGGATTTTCCAGTAGAGTGTGAAATGACAGATTTTGGGGAAGACATAATTAAATTTCAACATGTTACAGAATAAACAACAACAACAACAAAAAAATCTCATTTTTCAATATGAGGGAATGAAAAGCAACCACTGAGGAAAAATAAAACAGAGAAGTTTTCTCCATTGTGCATGAACATATGTGAAATAAAACACCTGTTAGTTAATTAGGAGTACAAATTGTATTTTTATTTACCTGGGATTTGTACATATTTACTAATAATTTCCCCCAGTGTCTCCAAAGTAATATTAAATGTAATTGGTGCATCCTGTCCTGTGTAACCCTGTTACCTCTTCAAGGCAGGCACTGCCAGCTGTGCACCCTGGCTGCTGGATTCCATTATAATGCCCATTAAATAACTTGTATTCCTGGAATCTGTTACAGATGGCAATTCGAGATATTGAAGCAATTCTAGGAGTTACAGCAGAAAACAAACTGAGATTGGAAGAAGAGCAACCTTGGCAAGCAGATGCTCTGAAGGAATAGTTAACAGAAAATGTTCAAGTGCCTCATTCCTTATGCTTCTGGAAATGCTTCCTCATCTGTAAGAACAGGTTTGGTTTTCCTTCTGAGCTGGTGTGTGAAGTAGCATTAACTGAGACAGAAAATCTCTGTGGCTGCTGCCTGTGGCACTGGGAACATCCCACCTTTCTGGCTGGAAAGCACAGGATCATCCCAATGCTCCTCATGTCCCTGTTGGCATTCCTGGAGTTCAGCACGTGGGTTAAAAATCTCATTAATGGGGTCGTGCTGCCTTTGTCACTGACTGAGCAGGGGGAGCACATGCACTGAAAAGAGCCCTGGGAGCCCAAATTCCCCTTCCAACAGGCTGAAATACTGAGCACTGAATGAAAGGGGTGCAGAGGCTCCAGGATGGGCAGAGGGATGGAGGAGCTCTGCAGGGAGGGAAGGCTGGCACAGCTGGCATGGTTCATGGCTCACCTGCACAGCAGAAGCTCTGGGTGAGCTCAGGGTGGCCCTGAAGATGGAGAGAGACCCCTCAGGAGGACCTGGGGTGCCAGCACAAGAGGGAATGGCTTCAAGCTGAAGGAGATTTGGGTTAGCTGGGGTATCAGGAAGGAATCTCTCCCTGTGAGGGTGGGCAGCCCTGGCACAGGTGCCCAGAGCAGCTGGGGCTGCCCCTGGATCCCAGCAGTGCCCAGGCTGGATGGGGCTGGGAGCACCTGGGATGGTGGAAGGTGTCCCTGCCATGGCAGGGGGGATGGATCTGGAGGATTTTTAAGGTTCCTTCCAATCCGAACTATTCCATGGTTCTTTTGCCTATAAATGCTTTAATTTAAACCCCACTTCAACAGTAATCCCAGCAACCCACATTCCTCTGCAGAGCCATCTCTATTGTTGTGCTGCTTTTTCTGTTATCTAAAGACTTTTGCAGCAGTTCTTTCGTGGTCATTTTCAAATTATCAAAAAGAACAGTAATAGCACTAATTCATCAATAGAATTCTCCTTGCACTGTGATTCCCAGAATTCCATGACTTTTGCAGGTCTCTCTATCTGTATTTTGGACACTGGTGACCCTTTTGGTCACAACTGCTGTGCACTGTTGTTAAAGGACAACATCATATTTGTAAAATCATCTTTATCCATCAAATCTTTAATATCCCAGACAACACATTCCACATTTTACTAAGGAAAAGCAGATCTCACTGCATGGAGCTTTTATCCTAGGAATGGCAAATATCCTTGGGATTAGTTCCCAAAAAGCTCAGGCAAAACCAGTTTTAACACAAATACTAAAAAAGACCAAGCAGTTGCACGAGATCAGCCCCCAGTTTTCCTGACAGCAAATCTTTGATCCCTCAGCATGACACATTATTTTCTGTGGAGTTTTTTCCTCTTCCACTTTGATCACAGAATGAATTCATTGCTGATGAAAACATTTGCATAAATGCTGGTTACTGCTTCAAATAAAAACCCACAGGAGCATTTTTAACTCCTGGTTTTATTGCTGTTTTACATCAGTGTGGTGCTGGGTTTGGATAGCCCACAGAGACTTTGCCAAGGTGGAATTTAGCTGCCCTTGAGCTGGTTTGCAAAGGGTTAAGGAAAAGGAAGCCTTGATCCAAGCCAGAACAACATAAGGTCTGAGAGGCTCATTAGTTCACTGGCACTTGATAGACTGCAGTGTCCTGGGAGGGAATGGAACCTGCACTTCCTTCTGCCTTTGTTCTGCCCTGACAAAAGAAAACTGTACCTGTGTTTGCAGGAAACAAGTGACCTGAAAGTTCCCGTGGTGAGAGGGATTTCACAGCGTGTGCAAAGTGTGAAATGTATTTTGAGGGGGGGGAAAAGAAAGTTTTTAATTACTACTAACACTTCTGAGCCTTGAGCTGATGGAAGGATTGAAAACTGCTCTGCAGTCTCTCACACCCAGCTCCCATGCTGCTGGTGCCAAAAATGTGGTTTTTAGCAATGCTGCAGATTTAAAATGAAATTATAATGTTGTTAAAAAGTCAGGAATATATTCTGCTCACACTACTGGATTATTTATTCCCACTCATTAATAGAGTAATAGAGTTGTTGAACTGTAGATTGAATTTCAGAACGTGAAATGGATGGGAAGAAAACAGAACAAGTGTGAAGCAAAAGATTAAAGGTGGCCCAAGTGTGGCTTCCCATCAGAAACTGCCCCAAAAAATGCCAGGTTTGGGCAAAAGCTGGAGCTGGCTCCATCAGAAACTGCCCCAAAAAATGCCAGGTTTGGGCAAAAGCTGGAGCTGGCTCCATCAGAAACTGCCCCAAAAAACGCCAGGTTTGGGCAAAAGCTGGAGCTGGCTGCTCAGCTGCAGGGAGTGCAGGAATGCTCGTGGAAGCAGGTGAGGGCCAGCAGGTTTGGCAGCAACTGCAGAGGATGCAGACAATTAAAATAAAGGATTTGTGCTCCCCAGGAGTCAGAGCTGGAAATGGAGATGTTGTTTAACTGGCAGCACTTTTGTTTGAGCCAGAATTCAGTGCAGCACAGAGCAGGTCATTCTCCTGAAAGAGCTACCTGGAGCTGATGAGACTGGAAACTGGGTCTCCTGTTTTAGGTAGTTGGGTTTAAAGCCCTGGGTAAAAGAAATAAAAAAAGCTTTTAGCCCACATTTCCACATTTAGAATGCCAACTCTGAGCACAGAAAAAAAAAAAAAAAAAAAAAAAAAAAAAAGCAGTCTATCAACTCAACCACTTTCCAGATGTCTTCTGAAATGAAATGTTCACCCTCCCTCTTTCTTGGAAGATCTCCAGTACCTCGGGATCAGGAGAAATCACCACCTTCCCTCTAGATTAAGGTAACAAATCCCTGCATTTTTAAGGCTATCCTTAACACTTCATATAAAATCCATTTAACAATGGGATACTGTAGCTCTGAGGGACCCCGTTACATTGTACAGATCCTCTGCATTTCATTTTAGACTGCAGTATTTGTTATATTGATGAAGAACAAAAGATTAAGAACTAAAATAATTGACAACCTTCATTAATGTAATTAATGAAACACAACAGCATTGTATCACTTTTAAGGTTCAATACTTTATTTCAACCCTTCAGCACAGTACCACATTCCAACTTTTCTATCCTCAGCCACCACTAAAGAAAGATATTAGAGCTAAACTATATGCTCTATTAATTACAGGGAGGTGAACTTGAAGGGGAAATTTGTTGCTGGTGATGATTAATAATTACTTGTTGTACACACATGTAGTACAGTAAATAATCAGGGCATGTTGTTGGGTAGTAACTGATTAATTAGCATGATCATACTGGATAGCTCCATGGTCTAAGATTGCTGAGTTTGAGATATTGCTTGCAATTATTGAAAGAAAAAATCTGTTTGCATTTCTCAGTTTTCTGGACGTTTCCCTCCCTCTCAAATAGAATGTTAAATGGTTTAAAACCTTAGCTTTTAATTAGAAAAATGGAATATAGGCTGTGATTTTAAAATATTTCTTTGGAGGGGTCTGACACTTGAAGGTTTTTAGGGAGGTCTGCCAGGTAAACCTGGATACACTCCTGAGCCTGGGTGGTGCTGCAGGTGCTCCCTCAGCATCAGTGTCAACAAAACCTCTCTAAAAACGCGATCGTCCATTTCTTGGTGATGCTCCCACTGTGGGGCTCAGGGTGGTCCATCCCCTCAGCACGGGCAGCTCCAGCGCGGTCTCGGTGTGTCTGTCACGGAACCCCGGGATCGCTGAGGCTGGAAAGGCCCTCCAGGGTCACCCAGTCCCAGCTGTGCCCATCCCCACCTTGTGCCCAGCCCAGAGCCCTGAGGGGCACCCCCAGGAATTCCTGGGACACCTCCAGGGATGGGCATTGCAACCTTCCCTGGGCAGCTCCAATGTCTAATCCGCCTTTCTGGGAAGAAATTCCTCCCAATGTCCAGCCTGAGCTGCCCTGACCCAGCCTGATGCCGTTCCCTCTCCTCCTGTCCCTGTTCCCAGCCCGACCCCCTGGCTGTGCCCTCCTGGCAGGAGCTGTGCAGAGCCACAAGGTCCCCCCGATCCCCCTTTTTTTCCAGGCTGAGCCCCTTCCCAGCTCCCTCAGCCTCTCCTGGGGCTCCAGCCCCTTCCCAGCTGCGTTCCCTGCCCTGGACACGCTCCAGCCTCTCAGTGACCTTCCCGAACGAGGGGCCCAGACCAGAGGGATTCCAGTTCAATTCCTGGGCCGCTGTCCCGCTCTGTTTCCGGGGCTATTCCCTCTCCATTCCCGGGCGATTCCCGGACCGCTGTCCCGCTCCGTTCTCTCTCAATTCCCGGGCGATTCCCGCTCCGTTCCCGTTCCATTCCCGCTCCGTGCCCGCTCGGTTGCCGCCCCCGGGCGGCGCAGGCGCGCTGCGGGCGCAGGCGCGGAGCCCCGCGGGATGCGGGCGCTGCTGCGGCGGCTGCACGGCGCGGCCGTGGCGCTGCTGCTGTGGCGGGGCCATGCTCCGTCCTCGGCCCGGCCCGCCGCCTCCGAGGTGCTGAGCCAGCACCTGCGGCAGCGCCGCCTGCCCCACTGGACCTCCTTCTGCGTCAAGTACAGCGCGGTGCACAACGACCAGTTCGGCCTCTCGCACTTCAACTGGCCCGTGGACGGCGCCAACTACCTGGTGCTGCGCACCGGCTGCTTCCCCTTCATCAAGTACCACTGCTCCCGTGCCGCGCCGCAGGACCTGGCGCTGCAGGACGCCTTCTTCACCGCCCTCAAGGTGCTCAACGCCGGTGAGTCCGGCCTGAGGGGCGGCCTGAGGGGGACGGGACCGCGGCTCGCACCGGGCAGCTCCACTCCCTCTCCGTCTCCTTTTCCTTCTCTTTTTCTTTCTCTCTGTCTTTGCTCACCTTCTCCTCTCTTTCCCCTGTCCCTCAGTTTCTCCTCTCTTTTCCTGTCCCTCACCTTCTCCTCTCTTTTCCCCGTTCCTCTCTTTCTCTCCTGTCCTCTCTTTTTCTCCTTTCCCCTCTCCTCCGTCTCTTTCCCCCTCGCCCTTTCTCCTTACTCCTCTCCTCTCTTTCCCGCTCTCCCTCCCCTTCTCTCCGTTCCCTCTCCTTCTCTTCTCTCCCTCTCCTTTCCGTCCCCTCTGTCCCTCTCCCGGCATTCGGAGCCGTGTGCTCGGGCAGGGCAGAGCCGTAACCCGGCCCTGGCGGGGGTTCGGCCGGGCTGGTGTGGCTCTGACCCCTGTGACAGGCACACACCGCGCTGTTGGGGTTTCAGCCGCTCTCGCCTTTGGCAGGGAGCGTTTTCCAGCTGGAAATCCGAGCGCCGGGAGGAACTTTGTCC